CCCCCCCCCCCCCCCAGATTATTTGCAGGTGTCTTCCCTCGAATGGCAGCCATCAGTCTGGGAGGTTTCATCTTTCTTGGTGCTTATGACCAGACTCGCAGCTTTCTATTGGAACTTGGCAGAGAGAGTCCATGAATCACAGACGGCCCCTGCCTTCAAGAAAGGGTCCTGCTGTGAGAACTGTTCCCCTCCGGTGAGCAGGTGTTTGGCCATCTAAACAACAAAACGCGGCGCTCAAGTCCAGTTCTGCTCAGATTACGACATGGAGAACGCATCTTCCGTGCTGCAGGCTGGCCGGGATGACGTCGTCGGCCTGGTTCCCAGAGTTCAGAGAGAAAATGATGTCCACAGCGGTACTTTGAACAATTTTCTCAGAACCCCTTAATAAACAAGTGTGGCAACGCTGAGTCCAGGCCCTTTCAGAGCCTTCGTTTGATCTGTATCTGATCTTTCATTTCCTGCCACCTGACAGTGGAATCGGCCAAAGGCAGAGATGGTTGTGATTTTAAAAGAATGGCTAGAGTAAGTAAAGGAAGGAGACTCGGGAAGAAAGTTGGGGGGCGCGGTGTGGGAGGCTTTTCTCCCCTGGGTTGACTCCGACTGCATCGGCTTACAGCCTGGTGTAAAAAGAACGAACTACATACAGGTGCTCAGCCAGCATCCTCGCTGGGTAACCAGGCTGCTGGTCTTAATTACCCTCACATTTCACCTATAAAAACGATTGTATTCTTTTCCAGAGAAGTGTCCAGCGGCCCACGTGGTGTGTGAGAACGAAACCAGTCGCAGCCCCATGACTAGGTGGGCCCAGCGGGCTTCGTGGCAGGAGGGCCGTCACTGACCGGGCTCCTCTCCACTCCAGACCCAAAGCAAAGGGCCGGGGCCGACTTTGGAAACGGGGTGGGTTCATCATTCCTAATCACTAAGGTTTGTTGCTTGGAGTTTTAAGCTGAACACTAGAAATCAAAGAGATGAAGTGGGAAGGTCACCGTTTTGGAGCTCGACTAATAAGCTCCAGGTGTTAGAAGAATTCAGAAAGCAATCTCAGGAATCCAGTGGTGTCATGTTTTCCCTGGAGCAACGGGTATATACACCATTCTGCTTTGACTAAAAATGTTTTTCCCTTTTTGGGGGTGGGGAGGGGTGGCAGGTACGTACTTCAGGTGGGATGACTCCCTTACAAAGGCAATCTCTGGAATTAATTAAACAGGATGCAGCAATGCTGGTTAATGGAGGTATAAAAATAACCGTGCCATACACTTAACATTTTATAAATGAACCTTTATTAAAGACACTTCAATGCCATTTGTTAGACACTTCAATATTTTACATGTTGCTTTTCAATGTACATTGTACCAAAATTTCTATAAATAAATAACTTTGTACATAAAAGTAAGTAATACTTCCTCTTTCACATTGCCTCTCAGAAGCAGCAAATTCACATATTTTGTGGAAGTGAGAATCAGTTAACTGTTGAGAACAAAATTCTAAATGTGCTTACCTTTTGGAACAGTGATGACATCTGACAGTGAAATTTAACGTATAGGTAAGTAACCATTCTGTCAGTACCTCCCTTCAGCTTTTTGGCCAAAGGAACTTTGCTTTCTGAGATTTTTAAGGACCTTGTTTCAATGTAATTTTTCCTGAAATACACATTGGCACTCACAGATGGTTAGCAACAGGTCTCAAAAAAGTGCAAATATACCCAGAACCCAGGTCAAGGGCTAATCACTTAAGAGTCCAAGCCCGGGTCCCTCTGTGCGAGGGAAGGAAATGGACAGGCCTGCTCTGCACCCTCAGTGAAGACTCGCTAGCCCTGAAAAGGAGGGACTCGGTTTTTCCTCCCCCAAGGCCGATGTAATATTAATTATATCGGCAGAACTAAAACATGGCTATTGAAAAATCCACAGGTACCAACACCAGCAGCCTCTATCTATCTTATTAAAAAGCCTCAAATGACCATCGAAGGACACTGACAAGACCACATTCGCCTTTATCACAGAAGGAAGAGGCGAGGCAGTGCTTAATTGTTTGAACCAACTGCTTGTGGTGGATTAACAACCTCCATTCCGTTCCACTTTGTTTGTTGGTTACAGAAGGAACTTAAACCTACGAGAAGTCCATCACTGCAGAGGAACATGACATCTGCCCCTCTGGGCTCTACTGGGAGGTCGCTGCGGGGCCATCCACACACAAGCAATACTGACATGAAGTTACTTCCAGTGCCAACAGAGTCTCTGACGGTAAAGCACGCGAGGCGGGGGGGGGTCCGCCCTCCCAAGTGCAATACCAAGCCAAGGACCGTCGCTTCCCTCCCTGCCCCGCAAAAAAAAACTCCTGTGAACAAATGTGGTTTGTAGCTCCTAGGAACTCCATCCATGCATTAAGGCACCAGAACTATCCGCCCCCCTCCAAAATTAAACAGCAACCTGGTATGAAAAATAATAATATTGTCAAAATTGTACAATTTTTTTCTGTTAACCATGCACTAAAGATTAAAATAGCCTCTGTAAAAGATATATATAATATATATGCCATCTCTGCAAACTCTTATGTACAAGGGTATCAAATACTTTCCTGCCTTTTGTACACAATAGCCTCTTGCATTTCTGTGCTTCAGCTGCAAGTCCTTCAGACTGCTGACGATCCACACGGAGGTGAAAACTATATACAAATCAGTGATGCTTGAAGCCGCCAGGCTCCCTCACCCACCTCTCCTTCCTGTAGACATCGACGCCACAAGAGCTGAGGTAGACAAAGCCTAGCTTTTGGGTGCAAACAGCAGCGGCGTGCTCCGTCTCCCGGGCGGCTGTCCCGTCACCGGTGTGGCCTCAGAACCGGAGTCACAGGCTTGGGGGAGGTGTCCATTGGAAAGAAGCAAGTGCTGGCCTTCGCTGGGCACATCAGGAGAGCCCGAGGCAGCTTCTGTGAGCTCAGGCTTGCCCGGAGTTAACGCACACGAAGGCTGCAGGTCTAAGGGGTCCAGCTCACACAACCGCGCTATCGTCCAAGAGGAGGCCCCTAGAAGGAAGAGGCCATGTCAGTCCCCCTCCGGCCGAGTCCATGCTCCCAGACCCCTGCTGCTGCCTCGGAAGACAGTGCCACGTTACCTTTCCCATCTAGAGGCACCGCTGGCTTCTTCAAGGCTGCCAGCATTCTGTCGTGGTTACTGGGGTAGAGGGACCCCCTGCAGCGGCTACGGGACCCGTCAGCAGCCCCACTGCTCTGCTGCTGTGGAGAGCGCGGGCGGTCACTCGGGCTAGGCTCCAGGCCGTTCAGCGTTGCTGGCTGTGCACCGTCTCTGGGCACAGGCTGAGGACAGAAGGCCTGCTCCTCGGAGTAAGTGTGCGCATCGCTGCTGCAGTCGCCACACACCGCCGGGCCGCCGAGCTCTGCGGACAGAGCCGGAGCCGGATGAGCCCCGTCGCCACGCAAGTCTCCGTGCCGCGCAGAGGACAGGCTGCTCAGCTCTGCGGCCGTAAGGCCCGAGCCCTGCTTTGATCGATCCCCCTGCCAAGTCTGTTCACAGGGAAATGACTTGGGCAAACACCGAGCCATTAATGAAGAACAGAGCCCTTCCACGTTGAAACGTTTCGGCTTAATTTCTTAATCAGAGAATGAAGTCACACACTCTGATCTCAGGGAACAAAAAAAAAATCCCATTTGCGTGAGCACGCACCATATAGTGTCAGAAGTCTTCTGAACAATTAGAAATTTAGCCTCACAGCGGCCCTGGTGAAAAGGTACTCTGGTTTGGGCCTTAACCCTTTATTTCAGCCACTTATAAATCCAGAAGACTCATGCTCAGGCTTATCACACCACAGTTTTAAGAGACATCCCATTCTGGAATTTAAAAAAAGGCAGGCCAGAGCTTCCTGTTTATATATTGAATGCCAAATTCTAAGACAGTCTGACATCAATTATGTCTCCCCCCACTTTCACTTAATGAGTAGGTCAACCCAAATTTTGATTTCAAGAGCAAAATACTTTTCCTGACCAAAGCAGCTCATACCCATCATCTTCTGTGGACCAGGTGTGCCGGCGGCCTCCTCCACCCCTTTCCACTGCTCCTTTGTGCACCCGACGCAGAGCTTGGGCTGCCTGCACGTGATGCCGTGAGCTTCCAACTCTGGAAAGAGGCCTGTGTCGCTCGGACAAACACCTGCAACAGACTCCCACACGGTTAGAAACTCCAGGCTCAGTCGGGACTTTCACAGGAAGCCGTGAGAACGGGCAAGGCTACCAGAACAGGGACATTTTTCAAAGTGTTCTTTCCAGTGCTGGGTTATTGGGCTAAGCAAGAAGTCCAGCAAGGAACCTGTTCGGATACTGCCTTCCCAGCGGGCAGGCCTTTCATCATTCAGAGCCATGATGGTGAGTTCTTGGCAAGGATAAACTTGCCCCTAACATGGGCTGCTCAGCCTCCCCTACTCTTGTGGCCACTCTGTACTCTGAGAGACTGGAACAACAGACCTGGGCGCTTCCCCTGCACAACTGAGTGGCTTGGTTTCAGTACCTGGCACGTCCTTCACTGCTCTTATTTCAGGCAGTCCTACCCTATCCGGACTGGGAGTCCCACCCTCTCCCACCCTATCCCAATGCAGTGGCTTCCTCAGGGATGGGGATTTTAAAAGCTTGCAGAACTTGCACAGGTCAAGTCCAAAAAACCCCAAGAGAAGGCTTGAGTCATCCAGCCTGCCAGGTCACCACATACGCTTGACGGGATACCAGGCAGCTGCCCCAGGCCAGAGCTGGCAGCAGCCCCAGGGGTTGCAGCTGCACCGAGGGCTGAGGCCTTACCGTTGCTCTCGATGTGCCCATTGGCCTGGTGGCCACCCTCAGTCCTGACCATGGTTTCCTGTCGGTCAGAAAGGGTCCCCTGAGAAGAGAGGTAGCTCGGAACATCTGGTGGCACGATGGTTTCATCTGCAAGGAGACAGGACAGTCAAACACCAGGGGTCCCAATCCTTCGAGGTGACAACAAAGGCAGACACAGGAGACCCCAGCAGCCGCTGTCAAGGGACACCCTGTGGAGTCTGCACTGGAGAAGCCCTCCCAGGACCTGCTCAGCCTGACCTTACATCCAGGTGTGAGAGGTGTCCGAGTCCGCAAAAGACAAAGCACAGCGATGGGAAAGGAGACAGAACTGAGAACTGAGAGAAGGAGGGACCTGTGAGGTCACTGCAGCAACAGTCTACCACGTGGCAGCAAAGCAAGTGCCAAGGTTGCCTCAGAAAACTGCAGAGTTCATAGTGCGTTTGACAGTATTCCCATTATAATGTGCAATTCCTGAAAGATGACAGAATGGTGTCATCGAGACCAAAGCCTCAGCTGTCCCGAGTGACTCCACATTCCCAAAGGTTCTAGAGGAGTTCTGAATATACTGAGATTCTCAAGGAAGCCTCTGGCCCTGGCCTCCTTTACAAATGGCCCTGCTTTTCCCCTCCCCTGTGAGTCACCGCCGCCACAGCAGCTAACCTGTGTTAGTGACACTGTACTCCTCACTCTTCTTCCTGGTCTGATAGATGATGCACACCCAGACCAGGGACGTCAGCACGATACTGCACACCACCGCGATGGTGAAGATGCCCACAGTGGTGCCGTCCTTCCTGCAGCCCGGAGTGGGCAGGACGCTCAGCTGGCTGTGAGCACGCTCGGTGCCCAGGGCGTTGGACATCTCGCAGGTGTACCGGCCCGCGTCTTCCACCACCACGTTCTGAACGACCAGCAGCTGGTTGCCGGGGGTGAAGTGGTGCCGTTCGGTGAGGCTCAGGGGCCGGTCCCCCTTGAGCCAGGTGATGCGGGGGGGAGGGCTTCCAGTTGCTTTGCACTGGAGAGCCACCGTTTCTCCCACGGATGCCACGCGGTCCTCCAAGGGCACCGCCAAGGACGGGGTTTCTGCAAGAAGTCAGTGGAGGTCTTACGGTTATTCTGTGGGCCTCGGCTGCTATACCTCTGCCTTGTCTCCTGGACCAAGGAAAATCCAAGACATCAGTGAAATGCCATCTAAGATCTTGTAACAGAGTGGCAAGCTTTTCAGCAGATTTTCTACCAGAATGACTAAATCATTACTCTTCTGGGGATGAACTAACCTCCAGCCACAGAAGCCCCTATGGTTCCCAGACTGCCCTGTTGACAGGCCCAAGTTTATCCTTGACCCAGACCAAATCCATCCTGCCCGATTAGAGGGCACTTCTGCAGATAGAGTGTCTTACACCTAAGCCCTGTAAACACTCGCCTAATTCACTGGCTATCTTATTTTTCTTAAAGAGATGGAATCACTTGTTTAAGAAAATCTTAGAAGCCTAAAATTTTAAACAAAGAAATAGCCTACCACACTCACCTACTCTAGGCTTCACAGAACAGTTTGAGAGAACCTTGCCTCTAGGTACCTAGGATAAGTAAGAAAATCTCTCCCTCTCACACATACACAGATGCACGTGCACGCACACACACACACACACACACACACACACACACTCTCTTCTCTCTCAGTGTATCTATAGTCGAACCTAGGACCGTCAGGGTGGCGTTCGCTGAAATGGAGCCGGCCGAGTTCTGGGCGGTACAGCTATAAACCCCCATGTCATCTATCTTCACATCAGTGATGAAAAACACATCGTCGTCGGGCATGACATGCATGCGTCGCTCACGAGCGGCAGGGAAATCTGTGCCTCCATCCTTCTGCCAGGCAATCTGGGGGTTAGGGTGGCCAGTGGCAGCACATTCAAGGCGGGCCATGGTGCCAGTCCGGATGGCAATGTCATGGGGCATTTTGGTGAATGATGGCAACACTGCAAAACAGAAGCACACAGGGTCGAGTTTTTAGAAAGCTGGAATGCAAAGGCCAGGAGTTTGTCAAACTGACCGTGCCCACCACTGCGAATGAGTTCACCAGCCTTCATGCCAGCATCTGCCCAGAACCACTCCTGCCCCCTGTAAATCGGGAGCTGAGGGTTCCAAGGGCCGCTCAGCTTCTCCTACCGGGGAGGGGCAGGGGGGGAGCCATGCCATCAGTCTCTCTCCCGTCACACGCCCGAGGCCGGCCCTCACCCCCTCAAATGTAAGGCTTTCCTGAAACATTTCCGTACTGTCCGTCATGTCGTGATCAGTCTGGGCAGGGATATCCCATAAATGCCAGGGCCTGATACTTGCCGGCCTTAATCACCTGGAGAGAGCCTAGGAAACAAGAATATCTGCTCCTGCAAGAAGCTATGACAGAGAGAAGGTGACGTGCCGTCACCCTGGGGAAAGCAATGGGATGGCTCTTCCCTCTTGAAGAAAACTCATTTAGGAGCAGTGGTACTGGAACCATATTCCTGTATACACACGAGCAGAAAGCATTCCAGCAGCTTATCCCAAATATTCCGTGACACAGTGCTAAGCATCCAGCCAAATGTCGGGCATCACTACTGTACCCATCAAGATTGCTTTGGTGGGGACTCTTAACAGTTCCCTGAGCTTTTGAGAAACAATGAGGACTCCTTCAGAATAGGCCAAGACAAACCGGTCAATGTGTGGTAAAAAAGTGTGGGATTTTTTGGGGGGGGGGGTCTGTAAGGGCTGAGAGACTAGGGCAGTTCTGGCACTTTTTAACTGTAATAATCAAGAAAATCTTGTTAGATGATTGGGGCAAGGGGTTAACTGCTCAAGCTATTTCTCTCTCTCTCCTTCTACCCTAAACTCACTACCACAAACGGCGGTGAAGGAGCCATCTCAACAGGCTCTAAAGCTGGCTGCCGAGTAAAAATCCTTGTCAAACACCCACAGACCATTCTGCTGTGAGGCCGGCTGCCCTACCACTGTTGGACTGGGCCCCGCCCAGGCTGGCCCCAAGGCTGTGCCATCTCCTCAAAGGGCATCAGCTTCCCCAGCATCAGGGTATGCTTGGAATCTGGATACCAGGCAGCCTGGATTGAGAAGGAGAATAAATGGGAAAAAACCAAAACAAAACAGAACAAGGTTTGGGGCTACACTGTCACTTGACATAATAACTGGATTAAAAAAAAAGAAAACTCACCCCAAACGAAGAATGCACTGAGAATAACCCTACAATCTACAACACTTGTTCTGGGCCCAAGCCAGGCAACAGCACCATACAGTAATGTCCCGGTGAAGCTGGTGTGTCTGCCGTCCCAAGCATTTCCACACAGGTGACAGAACAATCACGAGCGTGGCTCTGCAGGCATCTTACACCCCAAGGGGAAAGACGGCACTTGCATACCATTCACAGTGAGCCTAGCCTTGTGCGAGTAGGTGGAGCCGAAGTGGTTGGTGATGACACACTGGTAGCGGCCCTCGTGCCCGAAGGTGACGCGGCGCAGGTGCAGGATGGTGGTGTACTCCATCACCTCCCCGTCCTGAGCGCGGACGTGGGCGAAGTTCTCCATGTCAGCACTGGCCAGCACCTCGCTGTCCTTCTTCCAGGCGAACGTCATCGGGGAACTGCTGCTGCTGGCGGCCGAGCAAGTGAAGCGGACGTCCTTGCCCACCACGGCTGTGGTCGTCTCTGGCTGGGTGATAATCTGTGGCTTGGGTACGTCATCTGGGGGGAGAAGAGCCAATGTAAGTCACTCAGACTTCCGGACACGGGGACCAGCTGCTGTTCACGCGAAGGAGAAACTGAGTCAGACCCGAGCAGGGACCAGTCCTTTCGGGGTCCCTGTGCACCCTCAGCTGTCAGGGACTTGCACCGTGGCTGTCTGACCGTATCCAATTACAGATACGCAAATGGTGATCCCTCCATGGTCACGCTCCTCGATTCAAGCACATCCACCGGTACTCAGTTATCAAAGCAGTCCGCAGTTTCCATGAGAAGACTACATACACGGCTTTACTCACTGTCACACAAGACTCAACAGAGTCAACCATGAATGCAAGGGCCTCACCCACAAACTTGACTCCACAGGGAGCAGGGACGAAGTACGTCCAGAACGTCAGAATAGAGACTTCTGAAAACCTGCACCTCCTATTGAAGCAGTGAAAACATAAGCAAACTATGATCACAGTCAACTTCTTCGGAATCTTAGAAACGAGCTAAAGGCTAGAACAACCCATGAAGTGTTATTCAAGAAAACACCTGGGCTTCCCTGGTGGCGCAGTGCTTGAGAGTCCGCCTGCCGATGCAGGAGACGCGGGTTCGTGCCCCGTTTCGGGAGGACCCCACAGCCCGCGGAGCGGCTGGGCCCGTGAGCCATGGCCACTGAGCCTGCGCGTCCGGAGCCTGTGCTCCGCAAATGGGAGAGGCCACAAAAGTGAGAGGCACGCATTACGGAAGGAAAAAAAAAAAAGAAAAAAAAAAAAAAAAAAAAAAAAAAAAAAGAAAACACCTGAATCTCAGGAAGAAAAGTGCGCTTTATGGCATGATAACCTACCTGAAGTCCCACCCCTCCCCCTCCAGCTCTTCAGTAGCATTAAGACTCAGCAAGCCTAGCAACCAGTGAGGGGGGCAGGGTGAGCTGGGCACGCCCACAAAAGCTGCATCTTCGGGGCCTGCCTTTGGTTTGACCTGATACCGTCTGCTCAGCAAGGGAAGCCCTATCCCAGGGGCATGTGGTAAAAACAATCAGCAGTCAGTGCTGAGGCAGAAGTATCAGCTGGAACCACTGATGGGCTGGCCAGGAAACTGCAAAGGAAACTGGGTGAGTGAAATGTCATCAGCAGGCTTTGAAAAGGGCAACATGTTCCCGAGGACCGAGAAGGCCACCTGCATGTGCGGCGCTGTGTGTATGCCCAGGAAAGACCTCAGAGGGTCCAAATTTCTTCCCTGTGACCCTCGTCAAGGACCAGTGCAAACAGGAAGTGATGGCACACCCCCAACACACAGCGGAGATGCTGGGCAAAGGACAGGAGGCCTGAAGTAAGTTAAGGACTCTGTCCAATCATTAGCTAACCACTACGCCGACCACAGAGGGACTAAAGTGGCTGCATAGAGCAGATTTTACAACATTTGTCCACGAAAGTGACTAAACAAGTAAACTGTAACAATACACTGAACAACAAACCCCAGGGGAAGACACAGGGAAGATCTGATTTCCAGAGTTGCTACACTATGTAAAACACTCCTTTATCAACAAAGAAAAAATAGAAAAAAAAAACGCACAAAGCAGTCAAGAGAAACTGTCTTTGAGGAAGTCCAGATCTTGTACCTACTAAAAAAAGACTTTAAATTGGCTTTCTAAATATGTACACAGAACTAAAAGAAACCACGTCTAGAGGGAAGTATGTAAATCCTTTCCCACCAAATAAAGAATATCAAGAGCGAGCTAGAAATTGTAAAAATGAACCCAATATACATTTGGAGTTTAAAAGTACAATAACTGAAATAAAAAATTCAGGAAAGGAGCTCAACGGCTGAACTGAGCTGGCAGAAGAGTCCGGGAAATGGGGACAGAGGCCGACTGAGGTTATCCAGTCTGAGAAACAAAAGAATGAAGAAGGTGAGCAGAGCCACAGAGGCCTGTGGGCCACCATCGGGCAATAACAACATGCGAATAATGGGAGTCCAAGCAGGAGGCGAAAGAAAAAGCAACAGAAGGACTATCTGAAGAAATCAGGGCCCCAAACTTCCCAAGTTGGATGAAAAGTTTACAGGTACACATCCGAGCAGCTCAGTGAACACCAAATGGAATAAATTCAAAGATCCACACCTAGAAGCTACATAGTCAAACTGTGCAAAGACAAAGAATCTTGAAAGCAGCAAGAGCACAGCAACTCTTCACATACGAGGGATCTTCAATAACATTAACAGCTGATGTCTCATCAGAAACCATGGAGGTGAGAAGGCAGTAGGAAGACATGTTCAAAGTACTGAAACAGAGACTGTTAACTAAATTCTACATCCAGCCAAACGATCCTTCAAAAATGAAGGAGAAATTACAACATTCTCAGATTTAAAAACAAAAAAACGGAGAGGGCTTCCCTGGTGGTGCATCGGTTGAGAGCCTGCCTGCCAGTGCAGGGGACACGGGTTCGAGCCCTGGTCTGGGAAGATCCCACATGCCGCGGAGCAACTAGGCCCGTGAGCCACAATTACTGAGCCTGCGCGTCTGGAGCCTGTGCTCCGCGACGAGAGGCCGCGATAGTGAGAGGCCCGCGCACCGCGATGAAGAGTGGCCTCCGCTTGCCGCAACTAGAGAAAGCCCTCGCACAGAAACGAAGACCCAACACAGCCAAAAACAAAAAATAAAGGAATTCCCTTAAAAAAACAACAAAAAAAAACGGAGAGAAATTACTGCTATCAGAGCTGCCCTACAAGAAATACCAAAGGGAATCCCTTCAGGCGGGAATGAAAAGACGCATCAGTAACTCCACATAAACAAAGAAAAAAACACCATTAAAGGAACAACTTAGGTACATATGTAAGGACTTTTGTTTGTGACTCTCTTCTAGTCCTCTCCTTTGAGGAACTTCTCTTCTGCTCCTCTTCTTTGAAAATATCAACAAAATTGAATAATACATAGTTACAGTAGGGTAGGGAAAAGAGAGAAAGGAGAGAAGACTCAAATACTAATCAAAGAAAGGACAATACTACCAACCTTACAGCAACAAACAACAATACAGAGGAATACTATGAGTAACTGTACACCAACAAATTAGATAACCTGTCTGAAATGCACAAATTCTAAAAAAGACACAAACTGAAATCTGACTCAAGAAGAAAAAGAAAATCTGCATAGATAAAACAAGTAAAGACAATTTTAAAACTTCCCACAAAGAGAAGTCCAGAGCCAAATGGCTGGTGAAACTTACCAAACATCTAAAGAATTATCACTAATCCTTCACAAATTCTTCCAAAAAAGATAAAAAAAGAAAAAAAAAAAAGATGAGGGGTGAACATTTCGTAACTCCATTCTATGAGGTAAGTATTACCTGATAACAAAACCAGAAAAAACAGAAAACTATAGACCTTTATGAGTAAACATGCAAGAATTCTCTACAGTCAGTAAAACCAAGAGCTGGTTCTTTGAAAGCGTAAAAACAAAATCGACAAACCTCTGGCCAGGCTCACCAAGAAAAGAGAGAGGACCCAAATAAAGGAGAAATAACAACCCATACCACAGAAATACAGAAGCCCGTAAGGTAATACTATGAACAAATTCATATATGAATTTGGCATTTGTATATGCCAACAAATTCGACAGCCTAGAATAAATGGACAAGTTTCTATAGAAACATACAGCCCACCGAAACGGAATCGAGAAGAAACAGATAATTTGACCAGATGGATCACTAGGAGTGAAGTAGAGTCTGTAATAAAACAAAAACAAAAAAACTCTCTTCAAACAAAAGTCCAGGACTAGGATGGCTTCACAGGCAAATTCTACCAAACACACAAAGAAGAGCTTATACCGATCCTTCTCAAACTCTTCCGAAAGATTGAAGAGGAGGGAACACTCCTAGAGACATTCTATGAAGCCACCATCACCCTGATAGCAAAATCAGACAAAGACACTACCAAAAAAAGAAAATTACAGGCCAAATCTCTGATGAACAGCGATGCAAAAATCCTCAACAAAATATTAGCAAACTGAATGCAACAACAGAGAAAAAAGATCATACACCACAACCAAGTTGGATTCATCCCAGGGTCACAAGGATGCTTCAACATATGCTAATCAATCCATGTGATATACCACATCAACAAAAGAAGGACAAAAACCACACGATCATCTCGATAGATGCAGAAAAAGCATCTGACAAAATTCAATATCCATTCATGATAAGAAATCTTACCAAAGTGGGTACAGAGGGAACACATGTCAACATAATAAGAGCTATTTATGACAAACCCACCACCGAGTGTATAATACTCAGCAGTAAAAAGCTGAAAGCCTTCCCGCTAAAACCTGGAATAAGACAAGGATGCCCACTCCTACCACTTCTATTCAACACAGTGTTGGAAATCCTAGCCACAGCAGTCAGACAATAAAAAGTATCCAAATCCAAACTGACGCCACCCACAAGGGCTTAACTTCCGAAATATACAGACAGCTCAATATCAAAGAAAAAAACAACCCAATCAAAAAACGGGCAGAAGACCTAAATAGACATTTCTCCAAAGAAGACATACAGATGGCCACCAGGCACATGAAAAGATGCTCAACATCGCTAATTATGAAGAGAAATGCAAATCAAAACTACAGGGAAGTACCAACTCACACTGACTTGAATAAAAAAAGACCTCCTGTAAGCTAAAAAATAAAAATAAATACTTATTTGTTAATAAATTATAAGAAAAAAAAATCTCAACACACATACTACCAAACCAGGGCTTCCCTGGTGGCACAGTCGTTAAGAATCCGCCTGCCAATGCAAGGGACACAGGTTTTGAGCCCTGGTCTGGGAAGATCCCACATGCCGTGGAGCAATTAAGCCCATGCACAGCAACCACCGAGCCTGCGCGCCACAACTACTGAGCCCAAGTGACACAACTACTGAAGCCCACACACCCAGAGCCCATGCTCCACGACAGAGGAGGCACCGCAATAAGGAGGAGCCCCCACTCGCCGCAACTAGAGAAAGCCCGCGCAACAGTGAAACCCAACACAGCCAAAAATAAGTAAGTAAAAAATAAATTAGAAATATAAATGGAAAAGCAACAAACAACAAACCAAATCCCATAACATATAAAAAGATGTCATACCATGACCAAGTTGCATTTATCCCAGGAATGCAAAGTTGTTTTAACATCCAAAAATGTAATACACCGTATCAGTAAAATAAAGGGAAAAAATCATGTGATTCAACAGATGCAGAAAAAGCATTTCACAAAATCCAACACAAAACACTCAACAGGGCTTCCCTGGTGGCGCAGTGGTTAAGAATCCACCTGACACAGGTTCAAGCCCGGGTCTGGTAAGATCCCACATGCTGGGGAGCAACTAGGCCCGTGCACCACAACTACTGAGCCTGCGCTCTAGGGCCCGCGGGCCACAACTACTGAGCCTGTGTGCCACAACTACTGAAGCCCGTGCGCCTAGAGCCCGTGCTCCGCAACAAGAGAAGCCCGTGCACTGCAACGAAGAGTAGCCTCTGCTCGCCACAACTAGACAAAGCCCGCACACAGCAACAAAGACCCGGCGCAGCCAAAAATAAATAAATTAAAAACAAAAGAAAACGAAACACTCAAATTAGAAATAGAAGGGAAATTCATCAACTCAATAAAGGTCATCCATTGAAAACCCACAGCTAACATCATACTTAACGCTGAAAGACTGAATGCTTTTCCCCTAAAATCAGGAAAATGACACAGATGTCTACCCTCATCCCTTCTATTCAACATTGTACTGGAGAACCTGGCCAGGGCAGTTAGATAAGAAAGAAAAAGCATTCAGATTGGAAAGGGAAAAAAAACTACCTTTTTGCAAATGACATGATGATCATATATAAAAAAAATCCTAAGGAATTCACCGAAAAACTGTTAGAACTAATAAATGATTTCAACATAGTTACAGGATACAAAATCAACATAAAAGTCAATCCCGTCTCTATACACTAGCAATGAAAATTTAAAAATGAAATTAAGAACTCCATTTAAGTAGCACCATAAAGAAAAAACACCAACAGGAATAAATTTAGCAAAAGAAATGTGAGGCCCGTATAACGGAAGCTATAAAATTTCATTGAAAGAAAGTGAAAAAGAGCGACACAAAGATGGAAAGACATCACAAGTTCACAGATTGGGAAGACTTAATATGATGGCAATACTCCCCAAATTAATCAAGAGGTTCAATGCAATCCCTATTTCAAAATCCCAGTTGTCTTTATTGCATAAATGACAAGCTGACCCCAAAATTTATGGGGACATGGGAGGGAACCATAATAGAAGAGTCTTCAACCAGAAGGCCAAAACTGGAGGACTATGTATGAGCTAGTAAAATTGTGCAACTCTTAGAAGAAAACATAGGCGTAAATATTTGTGACCTTGTCTCTGGCAATAGTTTCTTAGATATGACATCAAAAGTACAAATGACAGAAGAAAAAAAAAAGAAATTGGCCTTAATCAGAATTTAAAACCTTTGTGCTTCAAATGTCAAGAAAATGAAAAAAACAAACAAAAGAAGACCAGCCTCAGACTGGTAGAAAATATTGGCAAACCTTATGTCTGCTGAGGATCTAGTATCCATAATATATAAAGAACTCTTATAACTCAACAATGAAAAGACAAATGACCAATTAAAACATGGGCAGAAGATTTGAGTAGCCATTTTTCCATGGCAGATATACATATAAGTCCACTAAGCATGTGAAAACATACTCAACATCATTAGGCATTAGGGAAATGCAAATCAAAACCACAGTGAGATTCCACTTCACATCCACTAGCATAGGTACAATTTAAAAGGCAGTACCAAGCGTTGACAAGGATGGGGAGACATCAGACTCCTCATACATTGTTGAGGGGCATACGAAATGGTGCAGCCACTTTGGAAAACAGTCTGGCAGCTCCTTAAAAAGTTTAGCATGGAGTTACCGTATGACCCAGCAATTCCATTCCTAGTATATAACCCGAGAGATTTCACACACAAACTTGTACGGCAGTGTTCACAGCAGCATTATTTATAATAACCACGAAGTGGAAACCACCTGATGAATGGCTAAATAAATGTATATCCATACAATGGAATATTTATTCAGCCACTTAAAAAGTAATGCAGTACTAAAAATACATGATAAAAAAATTATACTAAGTGAAAAAGGCTAGTCACAAAAGACTATGTACTGTAGGATTCCATTTATATGAAACATCCAGAATAGGTAAATCATAGAGACCTACTGTAGAGGGGTGGCTGCCGCGGAGGAGACAGAGTGACTGCTAATGGTTTTGTGGTTTCTGTTTTGGGTGATGAAAATGTTGTAAAATTAGATAGTAGTGAGGGTTACACAACTGTTCCATGTTCTAAAAACCGTTGACTGGTACACTTTAGAGGGGTGAATTTTATATGTAAATTATACTTCTCTTTTAAAAAACAGCTTTGTTTAAATAAATTTCCTTACAATATCATTCACCTACTTAAAGTGGACAATTTCACGGTTTTTCGTATATTCACAAATACGTGTAACCATCATCACAGTCAACTTTAAGAACATTTTTCATCACCTCAGAAAGAACCTCTGTACCTTTAGCTATCATCCCTCTCCCTCCACCCCTCCCCAGCCCTAAGGAACCACTCATTTACTTTCTACCTTTACAGGTTTTCCTATTTTGAACATTTTATGAGAATGGAATCATATATAACATACAGTCTTTTGTGACTGACTTCGTTCACTTAGCCGTATATTTCAAGGTTCATCTATATTGTAAGACTGATTCCTTTTTATGACCTAATAGTAGTCCTAATTGTATGCCTATACCACATTTTATTTACCCATTCATCAACTGATGGGCATTTGGGTCCTTTCCACTTTTTGGTCAGCATGAGTAATGCTGCTAATGCACATTCATGTACAAGTTTTTGACGTGGACATACATTTTGTTTCTCTTGGGTATTTACCTAGGAGTGGAATTGGCGGGTGATATCGTAACTCTACGTTTAGCTGTTTGAGACACTTCCAAACCGTCTTCCAAAGCAGCTACGCCATGTTGTATTCCCCTCCCCCAAAGCGTAGGAAGCTTCCTCACCAACACTTGTTGGTATCTGACTTTTTGATTCTAGCTAGCCTAGTGGGCGTGAAGGGGTTATACTTGCATTTTATAAAAAAGGAGTGGGAGATTCCCACAGAACTTGAAACTTTGATCTCCTGCCAAGTGTTTTCATGATTCCCATTAGTACTTGATGATTGTTTGGGTTGGAGCCTGAGTGAAAATGTGGAGGTGGCTCTGAGAAATGTGTCAAAACTGCTACATCTCAGAGTACGCCAAGGCCACAGGCCGGAGGCTGGGGGCAGCGTGTCCCAAGTCCTGCCGTGGCTCCTATCCAAAGGGAGAGATTATGCCCTGTGGCAGGAGACAGGACAGAGGGGCAGAAAGTGCAATTTCAGGGAGCTCTGTGACAACAGAATGGTCAGGGACCAGAAACCCAAGGAACAATGGATGGCACAGCTATTCCATCCTAGGCAATGGGGGGCCATGTGCACAGTGCCCATGAGAATGACAGTAAAGACAGTTGATTTGGCAGGGCTGCTACCACGTTGACAGTGTTCTTAAGGCTTCCTGCTGGACTGGGTCAGGAGAAAGGAAAGCAAGCCTGCTCTCAGAAGTGATGGAGGTGCTGGTGAGTGGGCACGTGGAAGGAGGACACCTGTATCTTGATGTCAGCAGGCACACTGGCTACTGCTGTGCCCAAAAAGTAGGACAGAGAAGTGGACCACTGGGGTTCCCAGACCCTACGGGAGCCCCTGGTTGGGAATATCACACCCAAGGCTCAAGGCAGACCAGAGGGATGAAAGGCAGCAGGATGCACACCTGCCCGGCAGTTCCAGTCAGGCCTGGGAATGCCACCCTCGCTCCTGCTTAGAGCAGAAACAAGCAACAACTCAAAATTCATCTCGTTCTTTGAACACATCTTTCTGACCACGAGGCTGCATCATCTCTATTTGAGTGTGGTGTGTGGTGCCTGTGTGCACGTACGTGTGAGTGTATATGTGTGTGTGTTTCTGTGTTCAGATGCTCACCATTTTCTGTGCTCTTTGCAGCCAAACTTGGATCCCAACCACCCCTGGTCCAAAAGATGGCAAGACCTACATGCCAACAGTCAGGAGGAAAAAAGAATTTAAAGCTACCAGTGCCGATTCCAGTGCTTTGGAGACACAGCAAGAGTGCAAGTCAACACGAAGGAATTATTTTTACTACAGCAACTGTTCTCCTGAGACTCATTCTTCCTGTATTTAACCTTTCATTCTTGGGGTTGGAAAGAAACACACAGGAAAACCCCAGCCTCCTATGCTGAGTAAATTCACAGCTAAATCCGGGCACCAGCACCGTCTTGAAACAACACCGCCATCTTCCTGTAACTGATTATTTGCCTTGTAACTGAAGCAGCTCGTGCTCGCTCCTGATTAAACGCACGCACTCCAAGAACCACATAATGAGGCGACGGCACCGTAAACACTACGTGTGGTTTCAGTGGGAAATAAATTGTATCCAGCAGCTGATGGGTAACCATGGGCTAGGGCTAGGGTTGACTCTGATCACAGGAATCACTCCCATAGTGAAGCCTCCTGGCCTCCTTACCCTTTGTGGAAAAAGAAAAAAAAAAAAAAAATCACAAAGACAGTCTTACCACACACGAAACTCTCTGGCGGCACGGCAAAGATGCTCTGGCCCTTCAGTGACTCTGGGTGGGCACAGGTGGCTGTCACGAAGCCCTGCAGCATCCTGCCCAGCAGCCACGGGGGCAGCCACTTCAGCTGGCAGTCGCACAGGAAGCTGTCGCTGCTGATATGGCTGAAAGCAAGACAAAAGGGTCGTGTGAAGTGTGACCGCAAAGAAGGGATATTTGCCTCTGTGCCCGGAATGACCCATCGCCTCCGATCAGCTTCTGCCGTGAAAGTCAGCAAGCTTGAATGGGAGATGCTCTTTCTTACGGTTCCTCTCCTGCGACCTAGAGCGGTAAGTACAGTCTACCTGGAGACTGAGAAAATGCAGCTTCTGGCTCATCGGGTTAGACTCTGCATCACTAACAGGCCGCCAGGTGATGCTGACTCTGCTGGTCTAAGGGCCACACTTCAGGTAGCAGCCACCTGGAGTTCACGTGTTCCACGACAGCCACTGCGCTCATGTGACCCCAGGGACGCCGTCTCCCGGCCTCTGACCATCCCACAGACAGGAATAGCACAGCGTCCTCTCTGCTTTTTCCCACCCCCGTGATAAGCCACTTGGAGCGTCCAAGCTCCATCTGAGACTCCGATCTAAAGTCTGAAACAAGCCCCGAGAAGGGCTCCTTTCTCTATATGGCTGCTCTGTTTTTATTTGGCAGAGCTGCATGTTTTCTTGCATCCAAATGTCAGCCTCGCGGGCGTGCTCCCCTCTTGTTTGTGTATTTATCTCCACACCAGCGCTATTCAGGAGGCCGGCAGGATTCGGCTCCGCTCCCTAAATAGTGCCTGTGAGTTAATTGCCACTGCCCAGGGAGCATGAGAACGCACAACTTGGGTTTTGTGAGGCTCCAACCAAAACAGAGAATATTTTCTTTTTCATTTCTCAGCAACTGAGGATCAGCTTTTTCAACAGAAATCGGAATCGCCATCTCTGCGGACATTCCTTCCTGAGGAGTCACTCGAAGATAAGTCAGCTGAGGGGCTGAGCTGCCGTGTTCCTGGAAGACCTCGGGCTGTGAGCTCAAGAGCGGAGGTTAGCCCGGCACGGGGATGGACACAGGACTCATTACATGCGCTTCCCTGGAATAAACTGTCCCCGGTACATGGTGACAAAAAAGGGGTACCGGGATGCTCTGAAATTCCAAAAATGTCACATGGGCCAGTGTTAGAGCAATGGCCTCCTCCCCCGCCCCCCCACCATATTCCTCCGGCCCCTTTCTCGTTCTTCATTTCACTCTGACCTTCTAATGAGCAGGGAAACCATCGAACTAGTAAACAGACGAAATTACATACAGTCTGCTCTTTGCTCCTCTCCTCACTGTTCCCCAATGAGCTGGGCGTTGTAACCAAATAATTTTGGGAAGTGCTCATTCAAGACTGAAATAATTGAGCTCAAAGCCATTAAACAGGGATGCTTGCCCATATTAGACCTTACAGTCAGCCCTAGGTTTTGTATTTGATGGGCGGTAGGGCTGTGCTTAGCGATACGTGGAGAGAGGCTCTGTTGGGGAGTTACTGTAGGTGGTGGACGGGCCCTCACAGGTGAGCGCGAAAAAGTGGCTGAATCACAGCAGCCTCTGGAGAGCTTCCCGGGGCAGGCTGTGTGTGCTGGTTGGGAAGGCTGCCGCCAGGCACAGGAGAACTCACGAGCCCAGGCCAAGAGTGGAAAGGGCCGCTCCCCCCTGTCAGAAGCACCGACGGCTTCCCATCAAGGGGCATCTGACGTGCCTGCCCCTTTCCGCAGGAAGGCCTGGGCACTACACACAGAAGTCTAGGGGAGGACACTGGCCATCTCGGGGAGACTTTAGGCCCTTATGTCGGGGACAGGGACATATTTCATTTGAACCACAGGAACAAACTGGAGAAAACAAATCTGACGTTTATCCTTGATCAGAAATGTGTTTGGAAAGAGTTAAGCTTCACGTCATGCGTTCAGGGCATTTGCTGGCCGAGCTCCCTAGAGCATTTCCTGCCTCCTCTGCATGAAACCCTCCTCACACCGAGGGGTCCAGACCTTAGAAGACGGCAGGTACTCGGAGTGAACAGAAGGTTGTCCTAAAGAATGAGTTAGGATTAACGAGACGGAGGGAGAGAAATGGAGGCACCCGGTGGGACACCGACCTCCCCTCCACACGCACACATCACCTCCGAGACCAAGCGTAGGCCAGACGGGGGATCGCTGGTGACCCCAAGGCTCTGCAGCTTCCCGCAGCCAACAGGCACGGCCATACCGGGCCCCCGCCTGCAGCCATCCCGGCACTCCGCTGGCTTATATCGCACATTTTCGTGATTCCAACACCAAATGTGTTTCTAATCATCGCTTGTGGAAATTTACCCAGAGGATGACTAAGTGCACGGCACAACCTGCCTTGATCCAATGGGGGAAGAAAATGACCAAGTGGGATTAACCATTTCTCCCATCAGAGGACTGGGCCCACGGCCAGCCCCAGCTGGGTACATGCAGCGATTGATGGGAAGCCTAGGCAGGGGGCCAAGGCTGAGCCTCCAGAACCACACAGATGCATTTGCGGGGGAGGGGATCCAAGCACCTGGAAGGGCCCAGTTAGTCCCAACTAGAAAACTGTCTCAGGAAACCTGAGTCTTTAGGAGGCCCAAAGGAAAATCTTCTCTCCCTGTCCTGCTCTCTTTCTCTCTCTTCCCTTTAACTGGATCTTTTTTTACTTCCAACATGTTATTTGGAAAGTTTCAAAGACAGAAATGCTGGAGGGAAATGCACCGTGAACACTCACAGACTCACCACTTTGTAAAATCTGAATGTTTTGTGACACCTGCCTTATCACATATCTGTCCAAGTGTCCATCCTTCCACGAACTCCCGTTCTAAGATCAGGACCCTTACGAGAAAGGGCACCAACCTGACAGACTTGAATCTCGCAGGACACTGAACATCGTGAGGCCAGGGCCCGTCCACCTCGCTTCCCCTCACTCACCCCAGGGAACGCCACCGGGGCCTCTTCCTGCTTCGGTTTCCAACTATGGGGACTGCACCCCCCTACTGCCCCATTCCTCCCCTCCCCGCCGCCACCGAGGGTCCACCAGGATTGGCCGCAGGAACGAGGATGAGCTCAGGGTGCAAAGACGGCCACTGGCATGCCCGATTTTCTCAGCACTTGTAGGAACCCACAGCTGCACCTTTAGGGAACTAAACATTATGGCTCAAACTCATTGGCTGCAGAATCGGATACACGTACAGGAAGAAGAAAGGAAACCTGGGTGTTGCTACCTGAATACTTAGATGAGCTCCCCTGCCAGAGACTAGGACACAGGCAAGCTCTTCTAACCCTTGTCGCCCATGAGCCCACACGGCAAGTCTGCGGCGGCAGCATCACGGCCCACAGATACCACGGGGGCCCTGGGAATACACGTGGGCTGGGTGTCTCCTGACTATCCCACGGTACGTGTCACCATCCCACGGAGAGCTCTGCCCTGCTCACAGCCCACCCAGATCTTTTAAGAAGCCCCTCTCGATACAAGCCCTTCATTGGAGGCACCCCTAAAAGATGAAGCACTTGTCCTTGACATAATGAAAGGGATGATTATCCATTTTACAGAAGAGAGTTTGTTTCACATCATCCAGAGCAGCGGTTAGTCAACGACAGCCTGCACGCCCACTGCCTGTTTTTGTAATAAATAAGAATTTATTGGCACACGGCCACACCTATTCGTTTATGTATTATTTATGGCTGGTTTCTGCTACGAGAGTCAAGTTGTCATGGCAGAGGCCCTGTGGCCCAAAAAGTTGAAAATATTTACTGTGGCCCTATAAGAAAAAGTATACTGACCCCTGATTCAGAATAAGCCCCCAGAGGGCATTTTTTCCAAAAAGACAATTGAACTTACAGACAACTATAAACGATCCCAACTGTTATATAAAATAAAGCATAATGCAATTAAGGCACTTGTTACTCTGAAATCCTCTACTCTTGTTAACTGGGGCCACAGAATCCCCGGTACTTACAGCTCTTTAAGATTCTTCATCTTCACAAAGGCATCAAACTGGACAGATCTGATTGCATTCTCTCCAAGGTTCCTGAAAAAGAACATTCTTTACTTAGGCAGAGAAACCCCAGGAGCCCTTCAAGTCAGCCACGTGTTTGAGCCACGACGCT